AGGCCATCTGCTCTTGCGGACTGAGGAGTGAGCCTTTCGTGACAAAGGGCACAGTAAATGGCGAGATCTACAAATCTGAGTGCCTCGAGAAGCGCCTTTTGCCGTTCTTGCAGCAGCACGACGAAGCTCCGCTATTTTGGCATCATGCCACTATTCTAAAAGTGTCCTGGAGTGGTATGAGGCCAATTCTGTCCATTTTGTTCCAAAGGACATGAATCCGCCAAACTGTCCGGAGCTGCGCCCGGTGGAGCAGTACTGGGCAATAATGAAGCGGGAACTTCGGAAGAGCAAGAAGACAGTCAAAGACGAGAAGGACATGTTAAGAAAATTGAAAAAAACTGAGAAACTGGTACCGGATGACACTGTAAAGACTTTGATGGAGGGCATCAAGCGAAAATGCGTTCAATTTTACACTCAAGGCTCCATCGATTAACTTTTCTTTTGATTTTTGAAGTAAATATATGTATAAAACTACCCTAAAATTTTGGTTTGATTCTAAACATTTTAAGAAAATTGGCATGACATTTTCGGTGTCGCAATAATTTCGTGTTCGCCCTTTATAGAGAGTATAAAATAAAATATCCACCTGCACTGTATTGTCCATTTAGAAATAATTAGACCCTAACCCACTTACTTGGCCAGACTTCAGCATCAACCGGTGGGCAATGCACTCTACACTCCAAGTTACCCCTTTGTTTCAAAAATTCATCTCAAATTTCATACTTTACCCATTGAGTGTTGATTAAATAAAATCACAATACAAATTGTGACTGAGGGCGGACTTGAGGTTACTGACTATTAAATAATCTAGGTCCTTTTTAGGATTACATTTATTTAAAAAAAATCCAATTTTGGCCAATGTCCACCGAAAATAAATAAAACTACTTTATGACTTAAAGTGCAAGGAATGAGCGTTAGTTTCGGGATCATTTTAGTGTTAGAGTTGTGTTAGTTTTAATCCGTAATCAGCCCTGCCGGCCCCTCCAACATCAGTTGCAGGCAGTGGTTGATAGATCATGCGACACTGTAACTACTACTATGTTAGATGTATGATTCGTCAAGTTTTTTTCAATTGAGATAAACTATTTATCCTATAATTACAAAAGCAAACTTAAAATTACAATTATATGCAAATGCAAAATAAAACTTGACAAATCATCGTCAATCCCCTTATTCTTGGGCAGGGCCTGACGATGTGAATCTGATTATGATCAGTGAACGGGCACCATATAGCCCATATACATAGTACATTCTCTCACTATGAACCTGTCATTTCTAGCCTATCTGAACTATTTACTAAATGGGAACCATAACATGGGTTACGCTCCCCCTAAGCGGGCCCTCCGCATCCTATCTCTGTCTTATTTGAATGTATCAATATATAAATTGGAAATGACGTTCAATCAAATAAACCCATACCCCACTCACTTGGGCAGGCTTCAGAATCGATCAGAGTGGGAAGTGCGCTCTACACTCCAAGTTCCCTTTCTTTCAAATTCACCCCAAACTTGATATTTTACCCCTTTGAGTGTTGATTAATCACAACGAAACATTGTTACAGAGCACGGACTTGAGGTTACTAGAGTATCAAATAATCTAGGTCCTATTTAGGATTATATCTGACAAATCCAAATCTGGCCAACGCCAACCTTCACTTTTGGAAAATCAAACTTCTTATGCCTACCGTGCGGGACCGAAATCCGTACACCTAAGCACGAGAGAATCATTAACGGTCAATACTAAATAATGCTATCACATTATGCTCTGTATCACATCTTTTTCCTTTACATTTATCTTTATTTTTCCAATATTTGCAAACACCAGGTCTTAAAATTACCTTTAATTATTAGAAAAAAGGATTTAAATTGCACATATCTTGAATCAAAATCCGTACAGCGTTTTACGATTGAATCAAAATCCGTACAGTTTTGAATCGAAATCCGTACACTGTGTTGAGGATGAATCAAAATCCGTACATGAATGTAAATCGATCCAAATCAATGAAAAAAAACGTGTTGCTATCTTGAATAGAGTATTTTTTTTGTAGTTGCTTGGCTAAGAGTCCAAAACAGCTATATTCGTTTAAATACACTAGTTTACAGCATATTTGAACTTTGTACGCTGATGGTCATTTCCCATGTAAAATCGTGCACTGGATCCAAAAATGCAGTCCAAAAAAATCTCGGTAGGATAGTTTTGGAGATATAGGGGTAAGAGAGGCATAGTGAACAGGTGGGGCATAGTGAGCATCGCGCGTGCTCCAGCTTGGACTTCCGGCCGTTCAGATCAAATTTGTTGGCTGTAGGATCAATATCTTAATGATATTGATCCTACTACCAGTTGATTTGTTTCATGCAGTTGGAGATCCAGAGCCAAAGTACGGGATGCTCACTATGCCCCACCTGTTCACTATGCCCCTCCTTCCCCTAGCTAAAAAATTAAATGTCACGTTAAATAAAACTAAAACACAAATATCTCTGCAATGAAGTGATATTAATTATTTTAACGGCAAATTAAACGTGATAAAATTTTATTTCGATCGTTATAACACTATTTTTCCGTGAGAGTAATGGTAGAACCACCATAAACATTTTAATTTACATTGCTTAAAAACTTAGCAGAAATTCAATTTTTCTTAGGAAAACTTAAAAAACAAACTATTAACTAACAACAATACCATCAATCTCACTGACAATTGATGTTCAATTGATCGAACGAAAAAATGTCTTACCTCTAATTTAGCGTTAAAATAATTGATATAATCTCATTACAACCGGAGATATTTGTATTATAGTAATCAAACTTGTTTAAAGTGAATTTTCATTTTTAGCTGTATCTCAAAAACTATCCTACTGACATTTTTTTCGACTACATTGTTGAATTCAGTGCACGATTTTACATAATAATCATTCGTCAAAGGTTCAAGTTCATTTATTTTACTTTTACTTTTTTAACTAATGATATCAACGTTAGATTAATTGATGCTCCAATCGATTCAAAGGAGAGGTAACTGAATTCTTTTTATTTAAGAAGGTAACTGTTCTAGATTTTTATGCTAACTAATATCATGTTTAAGGATTAATTTCTTCCAAATTTTATTCTATACCAGTGCTTTGGGTTAAATATTCTTACTGGAGTTTTCCTCCGATCCAATACATGGCCGGTCACAAATTCTGAAACCCTCACCTCCTCCCTCAAATGCTACGTCATTTATGCATGGTCCCTAATTTGTATATGCGTGTTGGTGATATCCTGTAGGGGAGCTGCGTTGTTTTACTTTTTGGCTGGTTCTTGACGCTCTTCATTAAAAGATATTAATAATATAACCTTTACAATACGAATAAAATAAGAGAGTAGCGATTCAATACGGCATCTCTTATGGTGGTGAATTGAACGGCAAAATCCCTGGATGCTTCTTAGTAAGATTTCTCCGCACGCATCATTGCCATAGTCTTCTCCAAATCCTCCGGCGTGTATTTAGTTTCCATGATCTGCTGAAAAACATTGGATAAAGTAGAATCGTCATTAGTGATGCGCAAGTGTACGGATTTAGAATCAGCTGTTATATATGGATCGAAATCCGTACAGTACTAATTTTGATAAATAAATACCATATGAACGATCCATTGCTTAGAATTGAGATATAAAACGATAAACACTAACCTTTTTGATCGACCTTCAGAAAACTACTTGCAACCATCACTGAAATACGCTTAACAAACTGAAGTAAATCCGAGAGATTTTCTTAGAAAATCGTTAAGAACGCAACCGATTGACAGAAATGCCCGACACGTGTTAAGGTTTTTATTTTTCTTATTTTAATTGCATGACATGCTGCTTAATTGTTGACGTAAACATTAAGCTAATGCATGAATGAACATGAATATGTATTCATATATAATATTTACATTGTTATGATGCATATAAATAAACAAATTCAACAGGGTGTACGGATTTCGGTCCCGCACGGTAAACTCGCCCAATAATTGTAGCACTTGCCTGGAAACTTCACTGATTCGTAACTATAGTAACATATGTCAAGCTCAGTAAACGTGGTACCCGCGAGGATTTTTTTTTTGTCCACAGCCAATGAGATCAATCCAAATTTGAGTTCAGTTTAGTCATAATCGGAAAAAATGCAGGAGCTCAGCGAATAGGAATAGTAAATTTGCCTCATGTTTTCCTGTGGTAGACCTCAAAAATGTGTCGGAAAATGAGGAAAATTGACGCCAATTTTACGCAGTCTAGCAGTAGTACCAATAGACTGAGGGAAGTCAATCTTTAATTTTCTCATATTCGGGATTTTCTCCCTGGAAAACATGAGGCAAATTTACTCATCGCTGAGTTCCTGCACTTTTTGAGATTTATGAGTTAACAAAACTCAAATTTGGGTTGATCTCATCGGCCTATTATTTTTTTTGATTTTATGAACGAAAAAAAAATCCAAAAATTCGGGGTGGTTAATTTTACAGGAATGTGAAAAATGTTTATCTTTCACTGGTGAAAATTTCAGATACCCAAAAAAACGGTAAGAGATAGCACCTACAATTTTCAAAATGGACATTTCTCTGTGTATGAAAAAAACTCGTTTTGATTTCAAAATAGACTTTAAGCATAATCCTAAAATTCAACAAGTCAATAAAGCTATACCTGTCCTTCGGTTGGAAATCTCGTTGCGATTGGTAATATTTTGATCCTAATAAACTATCGGAGGCAGTAAAGAAGTACGGAACGACATGGTGCGTGCGATACTTTCAGCAAAGTACACATTTTCTATACCTTAAACTTATACCCAACACCTCAGAGGCCCACATTCTAACTGCTAAATGGTCAACATAAAAAAACTAGACCAACAATTGAAATAGGCGGAACAACCAAACGTAAAGCAATGGCTATAAACGCTAATAACAATGCCATTCGATAAAGGAAATTTGCTCTATCAGAAGCTGGTGTTGATGCGTTCAAAGCCCTCGTTTACGTTCATTTGTTCCACCTATTTCAATTATTGTTGGAGCTAGAAAATAACTATCCCTAGAAAATCATCTTCAAAGCGGACAGCAGGTGCAACGTCACCAACCCCCGGTACAGGTAATACATATTGAGTTTCAGAATAGCCCAATTCTCCCGCAGGCAGGTCGAAAGCTTTCGCCACGGATCCGGTGCGTCCATGTATTCCCGGTTGCCGACGCTCTTGTAGCAGCATTTGCTCATCACCCAGAAGGCCGTCATGCGGTTCTGCGTCTTGAGCGTCGTTTCGATCCCCCGGATGAGGTCGTTCGTTTTCAGCACCAGCAACATCTGGCGGTCGACCTTTTCCAGCACGTCGGAGATGTGCGGAATTACCAGTTTGCCTTCCTTTTGGATGAGTTCTTTCTGTAAAAGTAAAGATGGAGAGCATTAGAAGGGGGTAGGATCTTTGAAGGATCCTGTGAGAATACCAACCTCTGCATCGTCCTGTTTGACTTTGTCGATACCGCTGATCACCGAGTTCCACGGTCTACCGGTAACCATGCAAGCGAATAATCCCCACATACTTCCCTCTACGCCGAGAGCTTGCGCGTGCTTCTTCATGCCCATCTGGTCCACTTTCAATATACTAAGCCACAGTTTGGAGTATTCGTAGCGGAACTTTTCCGTCAGATTGGCGTACAGACCATGGTCGAGCAGTATCACCTCAGTGCCTCCCTTGTCCGACTTCTTCACCAGTATGTTACCCGGATGGGGATCACTATGAACGAACCCCTTCAGAAAGATCATATTCGCGTACAGTTGACCGATCTTGTTGGCAATGTCGTAGGGGTCAAGCTTTTCCTGCTTGATATAGTCGATGTCGTTCACTTGTCCGCCCTTGACAAATTCCATCATCAACACCCGGGAGGTCGTGTATTGCCAGTAGATTTTCGGAATCTTGAGCCACTTGTAGTCCTTGAACATTTCCGCAACCTTTTCGGCGTTGTGACCTTCGTGTTCAAAGTCCATTTCGACGGGGAGGTTCCGCTTCGTTTCATCCACCAGCCATTGGAACTTGAAGTCCGGGAATGCCCACGTTACTAATTTGACTAGCACTTCCATGGTCTTAATGTCGACCCTGGAGTTCCCCCGAACGTAGGGGTGTTGCACTTTGACGGCCACTTCCGTGCCATCTTTCAGAGTTGCCCGGTGGACTTGGGCGAGGGAAGCCGTTCCGAGGGGTTCCGGATCGAACGAGGAGAAAATGTCTTCCGGATTTACTTTCAGATCTTGCCGTATCACTTTGTACAGATCTTCGATGGGATTCTGTGGGGCATTGCTGTGCAGGATCTTCATCGTGTTGACGTACTCGTAGGGCAGAAGGTACTCCAAGGCGCCGATGTGCTGCCCAACCTTGACGTAGACTCCCCTGTTTGTACGACACAGTTCCAGCAGTTTGGCTGCCGCGAGTTTATGGGTTTCGCTTTTGAGCTTTAGGTAGGCCGGATCTTTCTTGTCGGGCCATTCCTGCTTGTATAGGTTCATCCTGTAGGTGGTGGCAATGTCGAATACGGTCATTCCCGCTCGGCCCAGCCGAACGATACCGATCGAGTTGATGTCGTAGTCGTTGGCGTGCAGACTGAGGGCGGTTCCCATCAGGGAACCTCCCACGAGACCATACTTCACGAGGCGTCTCGCAGGCCACATTTCCTCAGTGCCTAGGTTTGATGGGTGTTTCAGGAAAATTTATCCGCAGCTAAAAATAGAGAGGTGAATGTGTTATGTCTGTTTGTCTGTGAGTAAACTATTGAAGTAATGGTATAGGGTTGTTAGCGGAATGCTCAAATAAAACAGCAAAAAAGGTGCTTTATTAGTAAAGTAGTTTTTAAGAAGAGAAATAATCCCCGACAGTTCAGTCTGTGTGGCTCCAATGCCAAAGATTGTGATTATAAATAAATAAATAAACAAACAAATCTAATTATTAGTGATTTCGTCACAAACAATTGACTTCAACCCTGCCTGTGAGTTCTCTTTGGGATTCCTTTTTCTCCTCGGAATTCCTTAGAAATTAACCTCCAAACTTTGTATGAGTTTCATTTCAATACTGTTCAGGATTCGCTTGGAATTCTGCTTAGGTTTCACCTGGAAACTAAAGTTTGTCAGAACTACCTTCTAAGCAATTATTAGATTTGATTTAAAGTTTTCCTTACAATTCTTCCTCAACTCCCAAGGAATTCTCCGCCGAATTTTCTTGAAATTCGCATAAAATTCATTCATCAAAGTTTATGAGCGCTGAAAATTAAGCAAGATGCTTGTTTGACGTATTAGTAACTTCAATACATTATCTCTCGTACTTCAATACCTTATAATTCTGCTTAATTAGAGCTTTTGAATCTTCCCCGAGGTTTCCCGCGTTTTTCAGGTTTTAGCAGGTAGTAGGTACCCTGCTTAATCAGAAAGGATTAACCAATATTTCCCTGTATTGTAAGGACTAGGACATTTCCAGAGCCCCTTATTGTCCAGGTAGTCGACACCCTGTTATAAATAATAATAGGGGAGTTTTGACAAGGTTTAAGGACAAAACCAAATTGGCGAAGCAAAGTTAGCCCACGTGCATTTTAAGATTGTACTCGTGTACCTCCCCGTGACAATTTTGAAATCATCACTTTCATAGTCCTTTTCTCTCCATGGGGTCTAACTTTGATTCGCCAATTAAGCACGGTTTATATCACTATTCGGGTCAAACAGGTCGATTCCGGGATACCTGGTCGAAATGAAACCAATTAGTGTTAAAGCACACAACAAACACCACTTTCTACACAGTTTCAATGCTCAAGCAACACCCTCACGAACGGTCCAACCAGTGACACACATTTCGCAAGTTTTTGTAACTTTCTTTGCAGTTTCTCTCTCCCTGCTTGTAATACACACTTGCTGCAAGCGCAATGTATAACACCACAGCACCAAAAAACCCTTCGATTCAGGCTTGCTAACCTGTTGCAGGGGCCAATGACTGACTCATTCAATCAAACAAACAACACCAGCGGTGGCTGGTCCAGATTAATTCAACATAATTGACCTTGCGTTGCATCATCCGCTTCTCCAGGTGTGTGACACTACTTAATAGTCAAGATCAACCGGAATCGCTCGCTCTAGGATACACAAGCACCACGTTGGCGCGTGGTGAATCTCTATATGCTAATCAATAGACCACCGCGCCAAGTAACACTTTTTTCTCGAAAACAAAATGTATGATTATTCATAAAAAAAAAACTTGTTTCAGTCACCGCACCACCTCTCGTTCTTCCGCAACCCGGGCGGAACGCAAACAAAAAAAAAATTCCTTTGAAAGCGCGAGGGAAAAAATTTAATGACCATCACGGATTGGTACACGAACTTACGTAAATAAAATTGTTCAATTTGAGTGGTAAACTGCACGTACCTTCACCGCACTTTGATGGATTCGGCTTCTTCTCCTCTAAAACTACCGACTGATATGAAAATTTGTCGGTTTTAATCCATTTTTCCCTGATAAAAGGAAGAAATTTCACTTTTCTGACAGTCCAGATGGTGTGACTGCGAATGAAAATAACAATACGACGACTACGAGCACGCACGATTTCGCGACCCCGACCGTCAGTGGCTGATGGATGAATGAATGAAGGAGTGCGTCGCGTGGCGTCGACAAAAAATCACAGTGCGGCGAGAGTATCACACACGAGACAGACAGCGAATCAGATGCGAGCGAGAGAGACCAGGGTGGCCAGATTATTTTCTTCAATATCGGTAGTATCAAAAAATCTTTATCGGTAGTTATCGGCAGGCGTCTCTTGTATTTTCCCGTTGATAAATCCAAAATTGGCGGCTACTTGACCGTCAACACACGTTCAGTCACTTTACTTTACAGATTCACTAACACTTTTTTAAACCATATTAACCTGCCTTATGTTACTTGTGAGTGACTGCAGTGCACTTCGTTTTCTGAGCAGAACGATATTTTATTTATCAATCCAATCTCAATTTTTGAATAGTTACGAATATGTCAAACATCCCCATACAACCCAATTACCGCTACTTTTCAATAATTGTGAGCAGTGGGGGATGGAAGTACGGGTGTTTGAATGAGGGTTCGACATAATAATTTTCAACGAAGCTACTTCATATATTCTTGAAAAATCAACATGGTATTTGTACCAACTTCTCAATTATTAGTGGTAAAAGTGCAACATTACGTTAATTTTGATTGATTCGTCTCTAATTGTAGGTTTATTTCTCGGTTTATTTATTGTTGAATACCCTAATAACAATTACCATACACGAACGATAACCCAAATGATTGAACTATTCCAAAAATGGTTTGGGTGATACCCCGAACACGTCGTTAAGCAAATTAACCATATTGTTAAGTGTGAATCGACAGGCGGGTCGAAAATCTGTAGGACTACCGATAAATCTGTTGATCTGGCCACCCTGAGCGAGACGTTTCTCGACGTGCATCAGTTACAAGCGTTCCAAGCCTCTGATTTATGGCGACGTCACGTCAGTTGAGTTGGAATTGTAGGGTTCCGAGAAAGTGTTGCATGCTGTCGAAGACTTGCTGTCGCGCGACTGGAGGATAAAACATTATTACAGAAAATTTCCTCACCCCGCGACGCGCAGGATTGGGCGATTTTCAGAGAAAGATCGATCTTGATGGGTCGATCTTATATTTGGCTCTAGAATCGATCCACTGATTAAATCGGTACCAAAGAATCGATCTTTGATAGATAGATCTTTTGATTTTTTTTAATACGCTTGTTTTCGTTGGTACCCGTTGGAACGTTGGAAATTATTTCCTTTATAATATTCAATTAAATCACTGGCTAGATTTTTTTTCTTTCAATAAAATGCGCGCAGAGCAATCAGCAAACGAAAAACAAAGAGGAAATGAACGCCACACTTGCTTACTGTCAATGTGTGTGTCAATTCAGTTCGGTAATCAATTTTTACCTCTTTGGGTAGTTTTGAATCATTAATGATTAATCAATCAAAATGTATAATTCTGTTTCTCCGTGTAGACAAAATGTGTCGGCAAGGAGCAACGAGCACAGGAGGGAGTAGTACAAACTACACTGAAACAAATCGACATGTACCGTTTATTGGATCCATCTTATAACATAGCAATGTCAGCAGATTTATTCATTCTTTGTGATGATTGATAGATTCCATTGGATTATCACTTAAAAACTATGACTGCGATATGGAATGATTTCTATCGTAATTTCCCATAGTTAGTGCTTGATACAACTTTGCTTCGAACGTAGTTAGCGATAGGTAAGACGTATTTGAATATTGTCTGATATATTTCATGGTGAAAAACTGTTGATATGTCATGGGTGAGAACAGACATCTAAAAATCATATAAGTTTGCATTATGAGAAAATTCAGTAAAATATACCTGTTTTCATGATGAATATTGCTCACTAAAATATATATCTTATAAGATAATCATGTATATTTTATTGGAGTTGCTTTTAACGATTTTTGACGTTTGTTGATATGCCGCGTGTAAACAGACATGTAGAAACTATTGGACTAAATGACTTTGCAGCATAGGAAAACATGTATATCTCATTGGAATAGCTTCCTTTGATTTTTGAGGTTTAAAGATTGTAAACAGATCTATCCCAATCATTATATAGTAATATAGATTTGCCTTTTAAGAAATCCAGCAGCAAACATTTGTTTTGGCATAGTTTTCCGGGATGAATATCGCTCCCAATAAAAAACATCTTACATGATTGTTCTTTATGAATTATTGAAACAATTTTCAACGATGTTATCTTACACTCATTAAAATGATTAGTCGAGCCAAATATTGCTAACAACAATGATACTGTATTGAATAATCTTTGTTTGTTATTGTTCCATAAGATAAGGGGTTCCGGAAAAGAATGTATTGAGATTGAAAAAAAAAAATGATTCTACTGCAATATTTACTTTACTAAGATTCTAATTGTAAGCCTTATTCTAATCTCACGGCTAATTCAGATTCCAGCACTAGTACTCGAACCATGAACTCATATAATGTAGTCGTTGTTTTATTGCACACAGGAGCATTAAGCAAGATTTGAATACACGACACCACCGAAACGGAGCATAAATATGTCAGTGTTATTTTTCTTCATGCTAGCATAACGTTGCACTACATGCCATGCCGGGAGAGCTGTTCTTACTTCATGCTTATTGAACGAGCTCAATCTTGAAGTCAGCCGGGGCCCAGTGGAATCGAGCGCAGACACCGAAAGCATTCACACCTCAACAGTTCTGGATCGAATCCCAAATCAGCTACTATAAAAAAAAAGACAACTGTGCCTGATATTTATATTTCGATTTATTTTTAGAAATCGATTAAATATACGTGTAAAAATACGAAGTAAATTTCATGTGATTTTCACATAAACTTTACTTCGATTGATTTATGACACATATATTATACTGTGGTGAAAAGTAAAGCTTATGCTTATGGGTTTCAAATCCATTTCAGTTAATTATTATAATTTGACCGATTTTCATTTATGATATGACGATCATATAAAAGTTACCAAATTATCAGCATTGTAAATGTATCAGATATTCATATAGAATTTACCTGACACATTTTCAATCATATCATTTTCAATGGATTATCTTATAGTGCAAATTTATAAGATTTCTACATAACAGGAATATGTCATATTGATTCAGTGTAGAGTCGGTGTATAATGAGTCACGCCAAGAGTGAAGCCAAGTCTACCTATTGAGCTGTCAAACCGGCTACCTATCGTGCAGAGTAAACAAACATTACGATGCTATGAAAGGTCCACGAAAGGTATTGCAATAAAATATAAAATATAATCGAAGAAATGATCATAAACTCGCAGTCAGCAATAAATTGTCATGGGATACGTTTGGTAATGATCACTTATGAGAATTTCTACTATTTTTGGTTGAGATAATTTTACTAAATCACTGATATAATGATTTACTACAGCCGCTATTTTTTTCTCGCTAGAAGTCATTTGAAGTTTATGTAGAAGTCCTCTGTTGCCAAGTGAAAAGAAAGGGAATCTTTTGAAAACCGTGATGCGAGTTCAACTGTTTTTCTCTTGGCGTGACTCATTATACACCGACTCTAGTACAAACTAAAAAGACCGAATTCTTGCGTCACTTTTCAAATATACTAATGTAACATATCAACCATTTTGAGAAAATCGAAGTTGAAGTTCGACAGATTATTATTTTAACTGTTTAGAAACAATACACTTAGCAATACTATTTTTAATGTAGTCAGCGAATAATAACGTTGAAAATTCAGTAAAAACGGTAAAATCACAATTTTGATTTGAATTGTATGCTACAATATAGCAAAAACCACATAGGACGTTTTGACTAGTCAAGTTGTACATCGGACATGTTACATTGGACGATTTTGCTCAATGGCATAATCAATTAGTGTTACATTGGACGATTTGTTCTACATGATACTAGCACAGACAAAAAGACATAACACATTGAATATTTCTCACTGTAAAACATCGTCGCTAAAACATTACCGCCATCTGTTTTGTACACTGTGGTGGGTGTGGTGGGCTGAACAGATGGCGATAATGTGTAAACGTCAAACGCAAGGGAACTGACTACGCGCGCCATAGGTGGCGGTACTACCAACTACGATACTTTTAAATTTACCGTTAAATGCTTGTTCGATGAACAACTTGCGAGTGTTATGTCTGTTTGTCTGTGATACTAGATTCCCTTTCACAGATGTCATAGTAGAGTACCTAACTTTAGATTGGCCCCACCTTTAGAAAATGAGCACCAATCATGTTAGGCAGTCCGAATGACCGAAGTAACAAATATGTACCCATCATTTCAAACTGTACATTGGACAATTTTTTACCTACGATTATCTTAAATAAATGAAAGTAAATTTGGATGGATGTTTTTGTATCACATACAATGATAGAAGAGCCATAGTTTATATCGCTTAACTAGATTTGTTTACATTTGTTACATTGGTCTATTTGAAAAGTGACGCGAGAATTGGGTAAAAAGGCAACACCTTATTCATTTGACAGGTCTTCTGCCCGATTAGAGTAACTTTTCCTATGAACAGAATCTGAATAGAATCTGATAATCGATTGTTCCAATTTTGACTTGTCTCTTTACAGATTCAGGTTCTTTAGCGCAAACCTTTCAAATGTTGCTGTATTCGTATTCGTATACACTTAAAAAAGTTAACATCTTTTTTTTTGAAGATCTAAAAGATCGAAAGAAAAAAAAACGATTTTTTCGATCTTTTCATGGACAAAGAATCGATCCGAAAAATTCGAAATAGGGATGAAAAAGGTCGTTCTTTCAAATATCGATCCCGGAGACGAACCAGCGTAAAGATAACTAGCTAACTAATAGCGAATTCGTTTATTATTCGATAATTTATCGGGGTTGGAACCATTTCCAACTAGAAATACTCAGAGGGAGAGATAGGTGGAGAAATCAAAATACAATTCGGCAGCAGGAATTTGTACCTGAATCAACGACAAACCGACATGACACTTAATTCTGACTTATGCCTGAAAATCTTAAA